AAAAAAAAAAAAAAAGATAGCAAATTTTCTTGATCCAAATCAATTTCCACAAACTACATTCATGCATAGCATGCACTCTCCCCCCACATTTCAAGATGAACCTCCCATTCTTCTTTTAACAACCTCACAAATCCCCTCATAAATACCCTTTCCCATTTCCCCCTCAAACACAAATACAACCGTTGCTTTGAATCACAAGCAATAACCAAAAAAGACCAAGCAGAGGACCTTCCTCCGATCTCTGCCGAACGAACAAAATCGCCGGAGGAACCGAAAAAAAAAAAACGAAAATCGAAAACAAATGGGTAAGAAAAAAATCGCGGCGGCCGGTTTGGCCTCCATCCTCCTCGTGGCCATGGTGGTGGCCGTGACAGTCTCTGTCACCAATCGCAACGCCGGTTCTGGTGGAGTCGGCACGTCTAACAAGGCGGTGCAGGCCATTTGCTCCCCGACCGACTACAAGGATGAGTGCATGAAGAGCCTTGCCAATGCTAACTCCACTGACCCCAAAACCCTAATCGAGGCCGCTTTCAATGCTACCATTGATGACATTGTCTCGGCCGTTAAGAATTCGTCTCTCCTTAAGGAGGCCGCTAAAGACGACAGTATTAAGGCCGCCTTCGACGTTTGTGAAGAAGTCCTCGGCACTGCGGTCGACGACCTCAAGAGATCCGTCTCTCGGGTTTCCGAGCTCGACGGGTCAAAGGTCGACGAGTATGTCGAGGACCTCAAGACGTGGCTAAGTGCCGTCGTCACCTACCAAGAGACCTGCATCGACGCCTTTGAGAACACCACCGGTGAGTACGTACGACCGTAAAAATATAAAATAAAATAAAATAATTAATTTAACCTTTCGATCACTATCCATAAATAAGTGGTAATATCAGTAAATAGACAAATCTTTTACCACTGTTCATACTTTCACAATAAATGACTATATTTTATCTTTTGCTATTCCATTTTTTAAGTGGCTATAAAACCAAGACACTTGTATATATCTGCTAACAACGCGCCGAACGACAGGTAACTCGGCTGAGAAAATGAAGGAGCTTCTGAAAACTGCCCGACACCTCTCGAGCAACGCCCTCGCCATGGTCACCGACATCACCTCCCTTATCTCGTCCCTCAACCTCAACACCCTCTCCGGCGAATCATCCGCCAGCCGGAGGCTTTTTTCGGCCGACGACGACGAACCCATGAAATGGTCCCGACGAGACCTCCTCGCCGTTCGGCCCAACGCCATCGTGGCCCAAGACGGCTCCGGCCAATTCAAAACCATTGCCTCCGCCATCGCCACCGTTCCGAAAAAGAACAACGTACCTTTCCTCATACACGTCAAAGCCGGCGTTTACAAGGAGCACGTCGAGATCCTGAAGGGGGCCCACAAGATCGTCATGTACGGCGACGGCCCGCTCAAGACCGTCATCACGGGAAGCAAAAACTTCGCCGCCGGCACGAAAACCTTCCAATCGGCCACGTTGGCCGTGAACGCCGACGACTTCTTCGCGCGCGACCTCGGGATCGAGAACACAGCGGGTCCCGAGGGCCACCAAGCCGTGGCCCTCCGCGTGTCGGGCGACCGAGCCGTGTTCTTCAACTGCCACCTCAACGGATTCCAGGACACGCTGTACGCGCACACGTACCGACAGTTTTACCGCGACTGCGTCATCTCGGGTACCATCGACTTTATCTTCGGCGACGCGCTGTCGATCTTCCAAAACTGTCGGTTCGTGGTGCGCCGCCCGATGGACAGTCAGGCGTGCATGGTGACGGCGCAGGGCCGCGTAGACCCGCGCAGCCAGGGAGCGATAGTGATCCAAGGTGGCGACATCGTGGCCGAGCCAGCATTCTTCAAGGCACCGAAACCGATCGTGGCGTACCTCGGAAGGCCGTGGAAGCAGCTCTCGAGGACGATCATCATGCAAACGAACATCGACGGTTTTATTTCGCCCGAGGGGTGGTCTCCGTGGATGGGAACATTCGCGCTCGACACATTGTACTATGCGGAGTATCAGAATCGTGGGCCCGGGTCGAACCAGGCCCACAGAGTCCATTGGAAGGGAATTAAGCATATCAGCCCCAAGATTGCGGAAAGCTTCACGCCCGGGAAGGCGTTCGGCGGCGACTTCTGGATTAAGGGCGCCGGCATACCGTATGTTCCCAGCATGCTTTGATTTGATCGTTGGATATATGTAAGAACTAAGAATATAGTTGTGTGGTGTTTTTGTTTTTCCTTTAGATATATGTTTGGTTATTTTTGTTACACAATATGTGTTTTGAATTACAACGGGAACCTATGAAATGCCTGAAAGGTTCAGTTCGTACAAGAAGAACTAAAACAAAATGAAATTACAACTCGAACGCGGAGAGATTTAAGCCGAGGCGATTGAAATCTATCCGCAAGACAAATACGCCCCGTGTAGTGCTGACGGGTTAGTGCGTAATGCCCCCAAAGATACAACGGCTTTAACACTCGGAAGCTGTAGCACACCAGCCTTCAGAGTCCAGTCGAACAAGAATGAAGTCGAGAACCGAGCACTATGATATGATGCGTGAGGCTTTGAGAGAGTTCAGAATGCAAGAAAATGTTGTGTATTTTTCTCTGCAGCTCTATGTCCTATTTATAGGACTTCCACAAGTTGAGGGAAACCAACAGTCATATCTGACTCGGGTTGAATCAAAACCGAGTCCAAATCCAACTAGAATTGGATTTTTCA